TGAGTTCTTTGCCATGTGCGGCTACGGACGCACTGTTCCGATTTTCGATCCTCATACGGAAGCATTTGGATAAATAAGACATTATGTAGACTCCACAACTCTCAACTTCGTGATAGAGCATGAAAAAGGAGCGCACAGAGACAGAGATAGGAAAGCACTTCATCTACATACATGCGTATTTTTCAAGCACATTTCCTTGTCAAAGCCTTTATCAATGCTCATAATGCAAGTTTACATTGCACAAACAGCAACACCAATAAACAGTAACCAGCTACTCCAGTACTACTGGTGGGTAGATTACAGTAATCGGAGCTGCAGCACTTGTTTCGTGCATTGAATGCCGTTAACACCAGTAGAAGTGAAGGTCCCATCACTCTGAAAAATAGCAATAAACAGTGGCACTGAGCAGAATAAAAACCCAAAATTAGCAGCTTGTAAAGGCAAAAGCAAAAAGGACTGAAGAAAGCAGTTTTTCTAAGGGCACGGGTTGGGCTAATATCCCTAAAGAAATTCTCGTCTCGAACGAGGTTGCAGGACGTCCGAAACAGCAAACTTGGCTCACATGACCAGCGCGCAGACTGAATTTAAGGGTTTCTATCAGTTTTATTCGCTACCTTACAGTACTTGTGGACCAACCTCCACATCTAACTTAATTTTTTGTGTGCAGCAATCCACGCTACAAGCGGAAATGTGTCTCAAGAGAGAGAAAGAGATCTGATGGCATTTCAAGCCCAACTAGCAATTATAAAATATGAATAAATTTCGGCAAACATTTAAGAAACATCATCACTTACTTTACAAATTGAAACTGGGATTTCCAAAGATGTCAGCCACTCGATCACACAGCATGTTCACTGTTTTTATATCATTCAACCACCATTCTTGGCTGAAAGTGGCTACTAGGCAAATAAGGCTCTTCTATTGCTACAGATAATGAGACAAAGCGAAAAGGAAGGAAACTCTATTAATTAAAGAACAAGAAGTAAGAAGTCACCTGACACAGTAGGTGCTTGCTGGACACTCACTGACCACGAGGTTTTCCCTTTCTAGGACTCCATTTTGTGACACTTGTTCGCCTGAAGATGAAGCTATGCAGACCAAAGAGACAAAAGAAAATGCTTGAAACTACTCTGAGTGCTCCCGTAAAATTTATTTCCAGACTGATTCATCCCACATATTTCCACACACAAGAAGTGTGATACATGTGGATCAACGAGGTTAGAATATTTCCAAAAGCAAATGCGAACCGGCTTTAATGAAGCCTCCATTACTGAGGCGAAGTTCGACCTCGTATGCCTTGGGAATGATTAGTGACTGAGGAACAGCACTAACAACTACTGCTTGAGATGAGCTCTCTCTATAATTATGGATCAACAAGCTGGCTTTGCTATCGAGATCTGGTTTCGGAAGGTGAAAGGTGGATCCCACACGCCAGCCGCAAAATGTCCGCCGTCTATCGCGAAGATAGAAAAGTTTGCAGCCGAAGGGAAAAGGTTGATTTTTAAAGTTGGATTCATTAGTGTCTTGCAGTCGACAGGAAGTGTGTGAAGAGTCGAGTCAAAGCTTTTTATGACAACTGCAGTATATTCTTCCCATAATCCGGTTTGACCCTGTTGAGAACTGGTGCTGTACGATTCTTCACCGACTTGATGGCGTGTCGGAC